CACAGACACACACAGACACACAGAGACACACAGAGACACACACACAGACACACACACACACAGACACAGAGACACACACAGACACACACAGACACACACAGACACACACAGACACACACAGACACACACAGACACACACAGACACACACACAGACACACACACAGACACAGACACAGACACAGACACAGACACAGACACAGACACAGACACAGACACAGACACACACACACAGAAACACACACACACACACATACACACATTCCACACACACAACATACACCCACAGACACACACCAGACACATACACACACACTCACACTCATAAGCACCACACACAGCCACACACACACAGACACACACACAGACACACACATGATACACCCACTATACACCACATACACACAAACATATATACATACACCACACATACACACATACACCACACACACATACACACATACACACATACACACATACACACATACATACACACACCACATACACACACATACACCACACATACACATACACACATACACACATACACACATACACACATACACACACATACACACAGACACACAGACACACACACACAGACACACACGCACACATACACCACACATATACACATACACCACACACATACACACATACACACATACACACATACATACACACGCAGACACACAGACACACACACACATACACCACACATACACACACATACACCACACATACACACATACACACATACACACATACACACGTACACACATACACACACATACACACAGACACACAGACACACCCACAGACACACACACAGACACACACACATACACTTAACATACACACATACACCACACATACACACATACACACATACACACATACACACATACACACATACACACATACACACATACACACAGACACAATACACACATACACACATACACATATACACACATACACACATAACACCATAACACATAACACATATACACACATTACACAAACATACACCAAATACCACACAACATTACACACACACACATACACACATAAACACACACATAACACCACATACACACACATAACACACATAAAAACACATAACACCACACATTACACAACACATACACCACACACATACACACACATACACACACCTGCACACACATACACCACACTACACACACTACACACACATACAACACATACACACAATACACACACATACACACACATACACACCACATACAAACATACACACACATACACACAACATAACACACATACAAACATACACAACATACACACACATACACACACATACACACATACACACACATACACACACATACACACCATACACACAACCATAACCATCATAACCACACACACATACACACATACACACAACACAACATACACACACATACACACACCTACACACACTACACACACTACACACACATACACACACATACACAACACATACACACACATACACACACATACACACATACACACATACACACACATACACACATACACACATACACACATACACACATACACACACACACATACACACATACACACATACACACATACACACATACACACATACACACATACACACATACACACAGACACACAGACACACATACACACATACACACACACACACAGACACACAGACACACATACACACATACACACACAGACACACAGACACACACACACACATACACACACACACACACTTGTTGCGTCGCGGCCCTGCGCGCAGCGACAGGGCGGAGAAGGTCGAAATTCAGCAGACGCGCCCACGACTAATTACGCCCCGCCCGAGCCCTCAGAGACCGCTTCGGGTCCCGCAGCCGCCAGCAGCCATAAGCCATCCGGGCGTACGGTGGGAAGACGAGACTACGGTGCGGTGGAGGGTGCTACGAGCCATCCGGGGTTGGATGGCGGGGGGAGCGAGTAAGCAGCGTGGAACAACCAGGAAACCGGGACCGACCCATCAGTCCGAGAAGGGAAGGGGGCACAGGCCTACAGCGAGCAGGTGCCAAAGCCAGCCAAAGGCAGGCGGGGGGGCACAAAGGGAGGAGAGGCAAGGAGGAGTGGCAAGGGGGGCCGTGGCAGACCTGGCAGCGAAGGCGGCGACGAGCCGCAGAGTTCGCAGGCAGCCTTGCCGCGACAGCCGCGCACACGGATGCCTGTCGGCGGTGCCCCGTGGCACGCAGCCGCCCCCCAGTGCTACCGCGCGGGTTTCGTGCAGGCCGCACCGGGTGCCGCCGACGGCTCAGAGCCCCCCCCCCGTCCCTTTACCGAGGGGGGGGTTCGCGCAGAGGCCGCATTGGGGTGGGCTTCGACCTGGACCCTGCCCTCCCTCCGTGGGACGGGGAGGGGTGGGAGTGGGGGGTGGGGGTGGGGCGGGGGTGCGGGTGGAGTGGGAGGAGGAGGAGGAGGAGGTGGAGGAGGAGGAGGAGGAGGAGGAGGAGGAGGAGAAGGAGGAGGAGGAGGAGGACCAGGAGGAGGAGGAGGAGGAGGAGGAAGTGGCAGCGCTGTTGTCGACATTGCTGGGCACGTGGCAACAGGAGGCAGCTGCAACTCCCGGGTGGGCCACCTGCCCCGAATGACGTTCCGAGCCTCCTGGGAGAGGTCGACGGAACGGCCGCATACAGAAGAGCAGTGCCGCCTCGTTGCGGCACGTCCTGGGGGCGGTCACGCATCCGGGGGGAGGTTGGTGCATACCAGGGAGGTTCGTGCATACAGGAGGGGTTCTTGGTTACCGGGGGGGTTCGTGCCGGCTACCGGGGAGGTTCGTGCTTAAGTACCGGGGGTGTTTCGTGCCGGCTCGCACCGGCGGTGCCGCAGGCTCGAACCCCCCCGGATGGAGAGTTTGGAGGTCAGTTCGAGGCTCGTGCAGAAGCACGTCTCGGTGGACGTTTTCTTGTGATCCTCCTGTGCGACGGGGCTCCAGGGGCTGATTCAGTCGTACGACGACGCGAACGTCGTCTCGGATTCCGCATGGTATGTGCACTCTCTGACACTGCGTGGGGGTGGTGTGGATCAGCACAAGGGTCACGGGGTGTGTGCAAGCGAAGAGGGGATCAAAGAGCGGCGTGCACATGCTGCTGAAGTCATCGATGGAGGGCGACTCGCCGACACGGATGGTGAGGTAGTCCCTGCCGAAGGCCTCCCGAGCCGGACCGGCGGAATCGGCCGCCAAGGCAGTTGCCGCTGCCCGCGTGCGTTCACGCCGCAGCGTTGACGCAGTGGGCCTGGTCCGTGCGGTCGCTGCAGGGGCGGCAGCATGCGGGACCAGGGCGCGGCAGGCGGGGGAGGCGAGGAGGAGAGGTAGTACTGTGTGGTGCCGCGCCAGGGGCACGAAGCCAGCCCGACCGTGGAGATTTAGAGCGAGCCCCTGGAGGTGGGCACCTGGTGGCTACGCCCGCTCCACGAGGGAGCTCGAGCCCAGGCGAGAGAGAGAGAGAGAGAGAGAAGGAGGGATAAGAGAGAAAGAGAGAGAGAGAGACAGACAGACGGACAGACAGACAGAGTTATTGATAGAAAGAAAGGCAGAGAGGGAGGGAGAGAGAGGGGGAGAAAGAGAGAGAGAGAGACAAAAGAGAAAGAGAGAGAGAGAGAGAAAAAAAAAAAGGGGGAGAGAGAAGGAGAGGAAGAGGGGGAGGGAGGGAGGGAGGAAGGAAGAGAGGGAGAAAGAGTTGCAGAGAAAGAGGGGAGCATAGACAATCAACAAACACAAACATACCAGAAAGAGAAAGGGAGACGCAGCGCAAGTATGTCCACAACTGTATCCACATGCCTTGCAGTGGTTTCTCATTGATGTTTGGTCGCTGAAGAAGGCACGTGCGCTTAAATGTTTAGCCCCCCACCAGCGCCCACGCTCCAAGTTCATTCAGTCGCCATCATCGTATATCTCCTACTTATCAGATTTCACTCCTCCTGCTATACCTCCCTTGTCTTGCTACTCGCGTTCCTCTTACCCTTCCCTGTTTCCCCCTTGTTGTAAGAAAAACAGGATGAAAGCCTGTGGTGGAAGAGTTTCGTTGGCAATTGGTTCCTAAACGCTGCGCAGCATGTGTGTTTCTTTCTGGAGACTCTTCGCTTCGGTGTCGCAGTGGTTTGAAGGGTCGGGGGGGGATCCCCCAGAAGAGGAACTGGGGCCGTTTGCCCGATCCCTGTGTGCCACAGCATACACGCAGGCTGGTTCTCGGTCAGCTTCCGACGCGCCCGACATCCATGGCAGAACCGAGTCGTCCCACACAGGCCAGGGTGTTCCAGGAGGAGAAAAAACACACAGACACAATTAATCGTCGATTCCCCAGAAAATATGGGAAAATATTGGAAGTGGGGGGGGGAAGACAGAAACCCAGAAAATATGTGGAAATATGGTGAATATGTTTATTTGTGTGCATATGTTTGTGTGTCCTGAGGCCCCTTCAGTGTTGGCCTACTTGCCTCCCGCCGCCCCGCCGCTGCGGCCCGCGCCGTCCTCCCCCTCGGCCGGCTCCGAGTCCAGAGATGGCTTGAGGCAGGGCCAGGGCCACGGGAAGCGAGGAGCAGTGCCACCTCTTCTGCCCCTCCTCTCGGGTACCTCCTCCTCCTCCCTCCTCCTCCCTCCTCCCTCCTCCCTCCTCCCATCCTCCTCCTCCTCCTCCTCCTCCTTTCCTCCTCTATTTATCCTTCCTCCTCTCCTCCTCCTCTCCATCCCTTCCCTCCCTTCCACTCCCTCCCTCCCTCCCTCCCTCATCCCTCCCTCCCTCCCTCCCCTCCATCCCCTCCCCTCCCCCCTCTCTCCTCCTCCTCCTCCTCCTCCTCCTCCTCCTCCTCCTCCTCCTCTTCCTCCCTCCTCCCCTTCTCCGTCCTCCCCTTCTCTGGCCCCTCACTTCAGAGCTGGGGGGTGAGATCCCACGCCGCCTCTCACTCGCCGCAGGCGCCCCTCCGCCTGCCTGCAGCCATGACGGCCGGCGACGGCTACCAGGGCCACGGCATCGCCCCGCACTACGCCAAGGCCCTCGCCCCCCCTGCTTGCGCTTGGCATCGCTCGGACGTGTGCATGTTTTCCCGGCCAGAACCATCGAGGGCCATCCTGGACCATCGAGCCAACAAAAACACGCACGAAACCGAAAAATGCAAGGGACATGGACGTCCGAGCGACGGCAAGTGCGTGCAACGCCCAGCGACTCTTCTTTGGCCAACCCGTTCAGCCGCCTCGCCTGCCGCTCAATCGGTGTTGGAGTCGCGTGCCTTTCGGTTTCTCTGATACGATGTGTACATGTTCGTGACATAGCGCCGGTACTACTTACCGTACCATCGATCACCCAGATCGTTGTCATCGACGATTTGGTTCACTTGTGATCGATCGTGTATCCAATGTGGCTGCGTGTTCGTCAGGCACGATGTTGTGATTTTACTGGGCGCGCAAGGGCTAAGATCCGAGCTGTTATCAGATCACGTGGCCGAATCTGCATGTGGCCAGTTCTGAAAACAGCCATTCAACATGTTTGTAACCTGCCCCGTACTCACCAGGCTCCCTCCAAAGGTGCGCACAAAATTTGCAAGAATATGCAAACGTAGTCGGCCCCAACTGGGAAATCGGTTTCAGTTTCGATTCGTGTCGTGCGTGCGGGCGAGGCGAAGCTGCGCGAGTTCCTGCAGTTGCAGAGGCCACATGGAGCCCAAAAGGTCGCCCGCCCCCCCCGCCCCCCGCCCCAAGCCGGGCGCGGCCGCCGATGGTTGTCCCGCTGGTTGTTTTGATGGTTGTCCCGATGATTGTCCCGATGGTTGTCCCGATGATTGTCCCGATGGTTGTCCCCGTGGTTGTCCTTGTCGGTAGCACTCTTCTTGAGACACCGAGGTTCTCTCACACGAAGTAGGGAACCAAACAGAACAACATAAGAAACATAAGGGGAATCGAAGATATTCGCTCGTAATTTTGATTGACTCAAGGGCACCTCGGTATTTGGTCCATAACGGCGTCGGTGCGAGTTCACGTGTGCGTCAGCACACGTAAATCAAATCACCACAAACCACACACAGCACTGCTTTATTGCAGTGCACAACATGGCAATTGAAACTACATTGACACGGATCATGTGCCATTGACACGGGGGGGGAAAGGGAAGCTTGTTGGCCTTTTTTCGTCGCCCCTAGATTGCGCGGCAATTTGAGGGGCAGGGAAATTTGAGGAGCGGGGATGTGGTACATTTTGCCACTTGTTGCCTCATTGCGTACTGGTCTTCTTGCTAGTGGGTTCACGCCCGTGGGCGCTCACAAAGCGGGGCTGCGGATTCGTGTGGGGGGAATCCCGTTGGGTCTCCGCGGGGCCTCCCTGGCGCCCTGCTGGTCTCTGTCGGGTGCCTTCTGTGCTCCGCGCCTTGGCCTGCGGTGCGGCCGGTGGAAGTCGGCATGGGGATGCCACGCCGCGTCCCTTCCTCCTTCGTCCTGGTTGGTTGGTTGGTTGATTGGCGCGCTTTCGTGCGTGCCGGCGGCGCGAGGCCGTTCGGAGTGCGTCTGGGCGAGCTGCCAGGGGTTCCCGCTGCAATCGCGGAACCTCTCCACCAGTCGCTTTGCCTGAATGGGCACAGCTTGGCCGAGGCCCGCGCTGAGAGCCTCGAGCACTGGCGCCAGCGCAAGCGTGTGCTGGACCCGCTTTGGGCGCGCAGGTTTGCGGGGTTGCCCGCGCACGTCCAGGGCGTCCGCGGAAGAATCTGCTTGTGCTGGCCGAGATGCTCGAGGCAATTGGCTGGCCTGACGCCCGGCTCGTTGGGGACCTACAGAACGGTTTCCCATTTCTGGGCCAAATCCCACGCAGCGGTGTGCTCCCGAGCACTCCTTTCGGGCGCGCTTTCTCAACTCTGAAACGCTGCGCCGCGTGCGGCGGCCTGCCACTGTGGAGCAGTTGGTCCAGGCAGTTTGTCATGAGAAATGCCAAAAAGGAGGTCGCCGATGGTCACGCTATGTGGCGCCCTCTGCGTGACACGTGCGTCCTCACTGCTAGGTTTCTGGTCGACGAGGGCTGGAAAGCCGCCTCAAGGAAAGTCCGCTGCATCGGCGATTTCACGGCGTCGCATATAAATGCAGCTGCCTCCGTAGGGGAAGCTGTCCAGCACGACAGTTTAGATCAGTTTGTAGCTGTCCTTGGCACAGCGATTCTCGCAGGCGCTGGCGGAGCCGCGCTTCGCAAGGAGGATTTCGTGAATGATTTCAAAACGCTCCCACTCGCGAGCTCGCACTTGCAGTTTGCTGTTGTTACCTGGGCTGCAGCCGAGTCGCGTGGTCAAGGGCTTCAGCTTTTGGCGTGCCCCTTTGGCGCAGCCGAATCTGTTTACAACTGGGAAAGATTTGGCGCGGCTGTCCGCGCCTTTCTGGCCAGGTTGTTTCACGTTGTTTCTCCGCTTCGTGGGCGACTTGATTTGGAGCCGACCCGGTGATGGCACGGGCGCCACGTTTGGGCACGCCAGCAGGCGCCAGCGACGCGGCGCGCGAGGTTGTCGCGGGCTTGCTCGGGTGGGAGCTGGACGCTTCCAAGCGGGTGTCTAGCGCCACCTCTGCGCAAATTCTGGGAGTGGATTGCGAGATTGTTCAGGGCTGCTGCGCCGTGCGCATGTCGATTGGCCCGGAAAAGCTTGCACGGTGGAGTGCGCAAATTCGCGCCATTTTAGGCCAGGGCGCGATGTTCCCAGCTGAAGCCAAGAAATTGGCCGGCCGACTTAGCTGGGTGTCGTCAGCAGTGTTTGGTCGCGCGGCCAGAGTGCACCTGGCTCCTCTTTTCAAGCGCGCCTCGGAGCGCGGCTCCAAGCTTTCCGGCCGTGTTTCTCGCGCGCTGCAGTGGTGGCTTCGCCTTCTCGAATGCTTTCCGTCCCGGAATGTGCTGTGCGCGAGGCCAGCGGCTCGCGTTCGCTGCGTTGTGTACTCGGACGCCACAGAAAGTGGCAATGCGTCGTGGGCCCTATGCCTTCCTGGCGCGCGCCTGTTGTCGGCTGCCACCGTGCCCGAACCGGCGTGGAAATGGGCCCGCCACCGCAGGAGTCAGGTGGCCACGTGGGAACTGCTCGCTGCAATTTGCGCGATCAATTTCCTTCTCAGCCAGAACTGGGGCGAGCTCGAGGCGTTGCTTTTTGTGGGCAACACTGTGGCCCTCGGCACTTTGATCCGAGGGTCGCCCAGGCAGTCTGATTGGAACGATCTGATAGGCGACCTGTGGCCTCGAATCGCCCGCGATGGCGTGCTTCTCTATAGTTCTTTCGTGCCCAGCCACCCCAACGTGGCAGTCGCGCCGACCAGGCCTGAAGGCAAGGCCGCAGCGCTGGAAGCGATGCGCGCCGCAGGTTTCCGCCGCGCGGCACGGGTGGCCCCCCGCGATGCGCCGCGGCCGCAGTGAGGCTGCGAATCAGAAAATGGGCGCCCGGGAAAAAGCACGTGCTCTATCTGCGTCCTCTCGTCGTCTCTGCCCTATGGTGGCGTCTTCTGTTCTTGACTGTAGCGGTGCGGCTCAAAGGCAGTTCGCTGGTTTAGGCGCGGCCGTGTCCGGGTTATGGTTTGGGCATTGGCTGCGTTTCAGCGCCGATTTGGGCGGATCCCGCCCGGGGGCTTGGTTTGCGGCGCGTTCCTCTTTGGGGCCCAGGGACGTGGTCGCTGTGGTTTTGCCATTTCGGCGTCCAGTCCGTGCATCTCGCGCTTGGTGTGCAGTTTGATGCGAGTCATGGGTCGTCGCCATCGCGCTGCCTGTCCGTCGGCGTCGCCGCCGCGCGTCGATTCTGTAGCAGCTTGGCCCAGCGTGCTCAGATTTCCCGAGTAGGGCCGGGCCAGCGCCGCTGGGAGGTCAATTGCTGCAGCGGGCGCCGTTCGGGCGCGCTCTCGGAGGCTCCGTTGCAGGTGTGCTCCGCGCTTTTTGTTTTGTTTTAATTTTGCTTCCTTTTTTATGCTTTGTTTTTTTGTTGTGTTTGCTGCTGGCTCTATTTTTTTGTTGTTCCTTGATGTATTGTTTATTTTTTGTTACCTGTTGGTGTTTTTGCTGTTTGTTGATTTTTGCACTTGCTTGTGGTGTTTTTGGTTTTTGCTTTCCGATCTTCTGTTGTTCTTTTTCGTGGGTTTCGCTCAATTTTAGCTGTTTTTATGTGTCTTTATTTATGCTGTTTGCTGTTCTGTTTGTCGGTGTATTGTCATTGTATGTTCTTATTTTTTTGGTTTTGTTTGGTTACTGTTTGGACTTTCGTCTATTTTTATTTGCTCTCTTTTTTCTGTCTAGTCCTTTTTGTGTGTTATATTGTTTTTGCTGATGTGTTGCTTTGCTTGCGTCTCTTGCTGGAGCGAGAGGCCGCTGTTTCCAGGGCCGACGTGGACGCGGCATCGCTGCGCGGCCGGCTTCAGGAGGCAGGCGTTTTGAACAGTGATGATGTCCGTGGTATTTCTGCGCAGGAAGCAACGCTTATTTGGGCACCTTTGGCTACCGTTCCCGAGTCGTTCGTTCGTGCGCTGATTGACTTATGAAGCCCTGCAGTGCGAGTCGAAGTGCCCCAGAGTATTAGTGGGGCAGGTGTCCCGCGCCCACCGCCTGCAGCGCCTGAGACCAGAGCGACAGCTGAGGCAGCGCTTCGGCTGCGCGCTGTGGCGCGTGCTTCTGGGCAGGTTCCAGACCCAGAGGCTTTCGCAAAAGCGTTTCTTGCATTGGCGAAGCATGATTGTGGGCCGCGCGCGCACCCGACGAAGACGCCGCGCACAGAGCTTTTGCGGGCCCCCTTGGGGGGCCAGCGGCGCTGGCTGAGCAGGCAGTTCGGCTGGAATTCTGCGGGTGGAAAGCCAGTGCTCCCGGCTACGCGTCGGCGGTTCGCCTCTACGGGCAGGCAGCGCGTGCTTGCGGGAGGGGGCCACCCGTGGCCTCCCACGCAGGTGGCGCTGGATTGCTTTGTTGGTTTATCTCGCAGCTCGGCATCGTTGAGCCGTGACTTGTCCCATCCCCGCGCAGTGCTGTCGTGGCTGAGGTGCCCAATCGGGCCACTGGCGGACACGGCTCGAGTGGTTCCAGGCGCGGAAAAAGCAGGGCGAGCACAACGGAGGCTGCGGGTGCGAGCTTCGGCTGAAGAGACGAGAGCCCTCGCCAGGTGGTGCGTCAGCTTCGGCTTCCCATTGCTGGGGGATTCCTGGGTTGTCGCCAGGAATTGCTGCTTGCGCTACGGCGAGGTGCTCCAGATCGGGACCGAGCGCGCCCCTGTCCGCGTCGGCGTTGCACCAGACGGGCGCCGCCACGTTTGCATCACTTTCACGCAGAGAAAGTGTTATTCGGAGCCTGTCGAGGTCGCGCGAACCTGCGTCTGCAAATTGCAGGGTCGTGCCCTTTGTGGCGTTTGCTTCGTGGTCTGGCTGCGTCGCGACGTCCAGGGGCCCAACATTTTCTCGGGCATTACTTGCGGTGAAAGCTTGGGGGTGCTCACGATTGCTGCCAGCGCGCGCGGCTTTGCAAACGCAGCGCCCGCGGGGCTGGGCTACAGAGCGCCTGCAGGCAGGTGGCCCGACTGCTCTGTTTTATTCAGGCGGCTGGCGCGGATTGACCGCTTTTGCATGCGCTTCCGCTCGCGCCAGGGGAGCCATAGCGGCGACGGAGTTTCTTGTTGACCACTCTGAGTCGTGCGAAGCTGGCGAGTGAAAAGCTCCCGCTCGCACTGGGCCCAAATATCTTCGCAGTCGCTTCGCGCAGCTGCTTGTCCCACAGGGCCGTTCTGGACCTCCCAGGTCAGGGCCCGCCAGCTGCACGACCCGTTCCGCCCTCAGTGCGCGCGGGAGCGCTGGCAGCTGAATGCCGCGACGGTAAATTTCCGTCGCCCTTAGATTGCGCGGCAATTTGGGGGGCAGGGAAATTTGAGGAGCGGGGATGTGGTGCATTTTGCCACTTGTTGCCTCATTGCCTGCTGGCCTTCTTGCTAGTGGGTTCACGCCCGTGGGCGCTCCCAAAGCGGGGCTGCGGATTCGTGTGGGGGAATCCCGTTGGGTCTCCGCGGGGCCTCCCTGGCGCCCTGCTGGTCTCTGTCGGGTGCCTTCTGTGCTCCGCGCCTTGGGCTGCGTTGCGGCCGGTGGAAGTCGGCGTGGGGATGAAGATATGGTTGTTTGGCACGAGCAGGACCTTCTTATGCAAGATGCTCCTTGTGGGGAAGTGGGGCAGGAAGGGGAAGACCGGTATATTTCTGGACTGGATTTGGATGGTTTTCATTGCGGTGTTATGTTTTTGTTGGCTTTCCTTTCGCAGGCCGTAATGTAGGCTCCGCAGCATGTGCACATGATGCTATGCGAAAGGCCATGAGGGTGCACGTCGTTGCCCGGTTGGAAGGATCTCCCAGATCAAACCCATGTGCACAGGGCGAGTCTCATCAGACGCTGGAGGGTATGATTACAAGGTTCGTGTTGTGATTGCTGATGCAGGGCATGAGCGCAAGAGTGTCTTTCGATACTCTGAACTGCGCATGTTCGGTTGTCACGCCAACCTGAGTGAGCCACGGGAAGATTGGAATCTCCACGCTGTCTTATACAGTGTCGATTTCTCCGTTGCGACAACATGGTATTGAGGCACGCAGCTCTCGTCGATGGATGTACGCATCAGCTCGATCCAGCGCCGTGATCTTCGAGCCTGTTCCTGCTTCTTCCCGCAATTGCGCTCCCGACGGTCATGGAGCGGCTAGTCCACGTTTTTCTGCACAGAGTTTTTCGAGGCGCTCCCCTTCGATGATGTCGTCAGTGAGCTCCTTGATCTGAGTGGTCAGATGTCCCGCCGTGGAACACTACGGGCGCTGAGTTCGCATCGAGTCAGGCTGAGTCGAAGCGCAGAGTGTGTACCAATGCTAGCTGCCATACGCATGAATGTGACATGTGTAGCAACTGGGCGGCTGATCGTTCCGAGGTCAAGGTTATCTCGGTTTGCTCTCACTGCACCCCGCAAAGAGGAGAGAGGTTTCAAAAGTTCGTACGAAGTTGCATTGCCGACACCGCTGATGCTTCTATGGAGTGAAGGGCTCCACGCGCCAAGTAGTCGTTGAAGCTAGTTCGTGACGATCAGGTCTAGTGAGTTCTTCGGGAGCAAGTGGCCGCGGCAACTAATACCGCGCTCAAGGATCTGACCGTGTTGGTTGTTGCATTCTTTCTTATCATCACCATCGTCGCCATCATCATCGGCAGCAGCATCATCATCAGATTCAGCATCATCATCGCTATCACCATCATCATCATCATCAGCATCATCATCAGCATCATCATCGTCATCATCATCCTGCTGGTACGGGCATCATTATTGTCATCGTCATCGTCATAATCATCACCACCATCACTACCACCACCACCATCATCAGCATCATCATCATCCATCACCATCACCATCACCACCACAATCATCAACATCATCAGCATGATCATTATCAGAGGTTGACGCGTGCATGGTCTCAGAAGCTTCTTGCGCCTTCACGCCAGGAGCATGACAGTTCTCACCATCCAGGTTGATCGTCGTTCCTCGCATCCTCTTCCGATCCTTCTCGTTTTCTTCGTTGCTCCTCCTCAGGCTCCCCCCCATTCAGCGTAGTCTCCTGCAGCAGCTCGAGGGCACCCAAACGGTGCGGTGCCCAAACCGCGTGGTGACTTCGTGGGAGCTCGGGGTCGCCGCGCAGCTTTGGGACTCGGATTTCTCCCCCGAGGGTGCCTCGGACGACAGGGGGCCGCCAGGGGTCCCAGAGCCGTGTGGCGACGGACCGCGCGGCGAGGTCGCTGGGGATTCCGAGGTCCTCCCTCCTCCCTCCTCCTTCCTCCCTCCTCCCTCCTCCCTCCTCCCTCCTCCCTCCACCACGCGGTCCGTCACCACGCGGGCCTGGGGTCTCGAAAGCAGCGCGCGAGCCGCTGCGGAAGAGAGCGCCGCGCGCCGCCGGAGGGCCACGAAGTCCTCCACGTGGTCGACGACACGCCGGCCGTGACCCTGGGCGCCATCTTCGGAGGCCCGCGCGCGGCGGGGACGGTCGCGGGGGGCCTCGCGCTGAGCCAGGGTGCCGCCGTCTCCTCGGCATTTGGCCTGGCATCGCTCGGACGTGTGTTTTTTTCTCCCTCGGCGAGGACCATCGAGGACGATCCTGGACCATCGAGCAAAAGAGCACGAAACCGAAAAATGCACGGGAAGTGGACGTCCGAGCGATGGCGAGTTGGGTGTTGGTGCGTTTCGCCTTGCTCGGGACCAGCCCAGGGGGTCCCCGCGGGCGGATCGGGCGCACCAAGCAGCAGCCAGCGCGAGAGCTCCAGCCGCCGACACCGCTCGAGCGCATGCCACGTGCATGCCATGTGCCGACGCACTCGAGTCGTCCACGCGCGGTATTTCTTCGACCAGCTCCTTTGGTTGCCGGTTGTTTGCTTGAGCGTGTGTTTGCAAGGTTGTTCGGTTGCTTGCAAGTGCCTGCGAGATTGCGCAGCCACATGTGCTAGATGCTTCACGTGCTTGACTGCGTTCTCGTTCGCAATTGTCTTCAGCTGAAGTAGAACGCTGGATTCTGAAGACGACGCAGCAAACCTATACATATATATATATATATATATATATATATACGTGTGTGTATCACAGCCGCAGGCCGCCGCATAGGACTTGCTACAAAATAAATACAATGGTTACGAATCACTTGAGACTCCTTCAGGACATTGTAGCTTGGTGTAGTCCCTTATGTCTAGCCTGGAGGGCGCGCCGGCCCTCGTTGCAACCTGGTGTAGCCCCGCTTGCGTGGCCCAGAGGGGGGACGGCCTTCATCGTATCCTGGTGTAGCCCCGCAATTTTGGCCCAGAGGGCGGTGCGACCTTCGCTGTAAACTGGTGTAGCCTTGGTGCGGCCTCGAACTGAGCGGCATGCTGAGGGCCTTTCTGGCCTGGAGGGCGATCTGGCCTTCGTCGTAACCTGGTCTAGCCCCTCTCCTGTCCTGTTGTTCCACTCTGCCTCCGCTCCCCTCCGCCTCGACTCCCCGCCTCCGAAAACAAACGTTAGTTGCATAATAGTTTCATCACATGTCGCCGGTCTGATGAGGCCATCTTCAGCCAACTTGGACCATATTGCGCCATCTTGGAGGCCATCTTAAAGCACTTGTGGCCCTCTCGGCACCAGAGGGCGTGCGCAAGGGATGGTCCCCAAGTGCGGTCTCTTTCCACGCCAGGCTCGGGCGTGTCAGGTGTGGCTTGTTCGCAACCCAGACAGGGTGCGCGGTGCGCAGGGAGTGGTCCCTGAGCGCAGTCTCTATCCACGCTGGGGTCGCAGGGCGTGGCAGGCGTGGCCTCACGCCAAGAGGGGGTGCGCAGGAATCTGCCCCTGCACGCAGGGCGCCAGGGCGGTCGTGGGGACGTCTCCAGCGATCCAGTTTGCCCCGCCTCCCTTTTGTTTTCTATAGGCGCACTACAGCGCTGGGGAAAACCATTTGTTTAACTGTCTCCCCAAAATAATAGTTTAAACAGTTTTGTATACATTACATACATACATGCATGCATGCATACATACATACGTACATACACGTACACATACACATACACATACACATACACGTACACGTACGAGTACACGTACACATACACATACACATACACATACACATACACATACACATGCACACATATATATATATACATACACACGTCTACATATACATATATGTATACGCATATGTTTAGATACAGTTAGACATGCAACACACACATATATATATAGACATGTGTATATATGAATACATATATATATATATATCTTTATATATATATATATATATATGAATATTTATATATATATATGTATAAACATATACCCTACCGAATTGCAAGGACCCTTCTGGAGGAGCGTCACCCAATTCGGCACCTTCTGATGAGTTCCAGACGACCTTGGGACAGCTCCGAGACTACCCGAAAATACAGCCGGGACGGGTCACGCCCGGCCCCAGAAGGCCCCCGAGAGGGCCGAGAGGTCTCCAAGAGAGAAGCGCCCCAAGAGAGGCCAAAGCCGCTCCAAAGCGTTTCAATGCGACTTATGATGGCGCCGGAGCAGTCCAAGAGGGCCGCAAGACAGCCCTACAGGCCCTGCTGATGATTTTCAAGAAGTCTGCACGAGGCCACAGATCTCGTTTCCCCGCTACTTTTTGTGCTGGTTCTTACGGACCTCACTTCTTCAGGCCTCCCACGGCCCAGGACGATCTAAGGGCCCCCCTCCCCCTCAACAAAAGCAGTCGACAAGGCCGCCACGAGGGCCCTAAGGCGGCTCAAGAGGCCCCAGGACGGCCAAAGAGGGCGCCAGGACGGGCCGACGGGGCCCCACGTGCCACCCAACAAGCCCTAAGAGGGCCCGAAGAACTCCCCACAAGTGCCCTCCTCCTCCCTGCTCCTCCTCCTCCTCCTCCTCCTCCTCCTCCTCGTCCTCCTCCTCCTCCTGTTCCTCCCCGTCCTCGTCGGACCTCCTTTCGACCTCGTCGAACCTCCCCGCGCCAGGCGCACACCGCAGGAGGAGGAGGAGGAGGTGGCCCCGAGCCGCCCAAGACGAGGTCAAAAGGGCCCCAGAACAGCCCAAGGAGGCCCCAGCCCAAAAGGACCCCCAGAGGATCCTCAAGGAGGTCTGGAGAGGCCACACTCGTTCATCTCGCACGGTGTATGCAGAATGTTGTCCTGACGGCGTGACAAACTGTTACCACAGGGCACCTCAGCACGGACGGTTTTGTGATCCCTCGGGCCCCGCGACGGCGAGCTCTGCGGCTCCAAGCTTCTGTTCATGTTCCGCAGGCTTGGGATAGCGGGTTATCTTGCTTTGCGCCCTGGCTCAAGGCCCTCGGTATCGCATGTCGGAACTTCCGTGGGTCATCCTCTCTTCCTTTGGCGCAGCGATGCTGCCTTGGCTCAAGGCCCTCTGGGCGTCCGCGGCCACACCCTCAGGGAGCACGCCCACCGGCAGCGCCTGGGGATGAGCTCCCCGGAGGCCTCGCCGCTGCTGCCCAACCCAGGGCCAGAGCAGGGGACTTCTCCGAGGCCGTTGAGCCCCGATGATGTGGGCGTCGAGAGCGAGGAGGTCCGGAAAGGGAGCAAGATGGCCTTCGCCTTACGGGGGCGGGGCTCGACGACGAGGGGGAGGACGAGGAGGAGGAAGAAGAGGAGGAGGAGGAGGAAGCCGGGGCTCTCGGTTCGGCGCCCCAGGAGAGCAGAAACCCAGACACGCGTCCAAGGGCTCGAGGGGAGTTCCCAGATTGCTGGACTGTGCCCCAGTTTGGGCAGATGTTCAGACCCCCGACGTCGTGGTTTCTGTCATAAACTGGACCCCCAGAGGTCACGAGCCGATCCCCAGGACCAGCTTTTCATCCTGAACTGTTTTTATCTCGGCCCTGGGGGCCTGGCGAGGAAGCCCCAGGCCGAAAATCGCAAAAAAAACAAACACGGAACATGTACATCGTGATACGTTGTGATATTTTCACGACGTGAGGGGTATGGGCCACGGCCCGAATGCTGCGGGGGCTTGGTGCCTTCACTAGAACTCTATCCGATCGTTGATCCGTTCGGTGGTCGATCCGGATCGGGCGGCCTGGCCGTGGGTCAGCGGGGTGCTCCGCGCGGCGGGATGGATCATGTCACGTGTATCGAGATCGGGATTAGGCCTTGGACCAGGTTAAATCGGCGGGGCGCTTCTGCAGCCTCGGCCCGCGAAACATAGAGCAATTGCACACGCACGTATACATATACATACATGCATGCATGCATGCATATATACAGGCAGGCAGGCAGGCAGACAGACACAAACAGACAGACAGACATACATACAGACACACACACACACATATACATACATACTGGCAGACATACAGACATACATGAATACCTGCAGACATACATACGTACCTGCAGACATACGTGCGTACGTACGTATATACATTGTGCATTCACACACTGCATACACATCGACATACACGCATACATGTATACACACGTACAGACATACAGACACTTTAACATAGATGCATGCAACCATAGACATACATACACACATACAGACACACACACATATCTACAAACATGCATACGCACATGCATGCATGTACATACATCTATACATACATGTGCGCACACACAGACGAATATACATGCATTCATTCAGACATCCATACGCATACACATGCATACCCATACAGACATACTTGTACATGCATAGGAGCATGCATGCATACATGCGTAGATACGGACGCAAACATGCATACACTCATGCATACATACATACATACATACATACATACACATACCTACATATGTACGCACAAACATATGTATGTATATTTATATACACACAGACATGGTCACACACAAATGCCTACGAGCATGTATACATTATGTACATCTGCATACATATATGAAGTAAGTAGGCGCGGGCCGAAACTTCATTCGATCCATATCACATAAAGGGGATGCCATGGTCGGCGTTTGGGGGGAAACGCCCGGGTTCCAGGGCCCCGCATGGGCGCCAGACCTTCGTGTTCCCCCGCTCTCGTTTACAGGAGAAGCGCCGGCGTCGAGAATTCAGGCCCGCATGTATTACATACATACACCTAAATACACGTACGTACATGCATCTATATATATATATATACACATACATGCATATACATATATAGCTATACATACACATGCATGCATGCATACATACACGCATGCATACATACAGACAGGTATTCACACAGGACTGCATGGGCGTTCGCGCCTGCACCTTGGCCCTCCCATTTCGGCATGCAGGCCGAATCACAGCGAGAGGAAAGTAAGTAACAACAGCGATATCTCCTTGTTGCCGTTTTCCGTCGCTGTCGCCGTCGTTACATGATGTGTTGCCTTCTCCTTCCGACGCATTTCTTCCTCCTCCTCCTTTTCCTCCTCTTTTGTTGACAGCTGAGCGGCCCCCCCCTTTTCCTCCTCTTTTCCTCCTCCTCTTCCTCCTCTTTTCTTTTCCTCCTCCTCCTCCTCCTTTTCCTCCTCCTCCTCCTCTTTTTCGGACCGCCGAGCAGCGCTCCCGTGACTCCGATGGCCCGCGGCCGCGCGGCCGCGCGGCCCGCACGCTGCCCACGGAGCCGCCGAGCCCGCGCCAGAGTTTGGACCCTTTCCGGAGGGGGGGGAAAAAACAACACAACAAAAAAAGCACACAAAAACACAACAACACAAAAACACACACACACACACACACACACAAACACACAAACAAAAAGCACACACATAAACAAAAAACATACAAAAACACACACACAAAAAAAAGACACACAAGAATGACGACAAGGAGGACGCTGGGAGGGAGGGACACCATGCACTGACAATGACGACAAGGAGGAAGATCGACCAGGCCGTTCACAACATCTACTATGACGTAGCATCTTGCTAGTAGCAGCGTGCACAGCGAACCTTGTCCGTAGCGCTGTAGACGTAGTATGGCAGTATGCGGGGTGCTCTACAAACCAGTGAGCGCTGTAGGCTTTGTGGCATAGTAAGCTGGTCCGTAGTCAGCTGGCTTCAGGCAGGCCAGTCGCGCCTATTGAGATGGCCGGCCGCGCCATCACCGTGAGGTGCCACACGAAGATCGTGTGGTAATTCTTGCAGGGCCGTAAGCAGGCCAATCACACGGCGGGGCGTGATGGCCATGCGCTTTTTGTATTCGTCGTAGGAGACGCGGCCCGCCTCGTAGACGGCCTCTATGGCATGGATCCGCAACCCGAGTTCTCTGTCCCAGTTGTCCCAGTAGGTGGTTGCGATCCCCCTGGCTGTCGCGGCTTCCACCTCATTGCGTGTATCGTGTGGTAGAAGCTGTTATGGTGGTCGTCGTAGCTCAGCTGGTTGCCCTCGTAGCTCAGGTGGCACTCGGAGCTCTGCTGGTAGCCCTCGCAGCTCCGCTGGTGGCCCTCCTAGTTCAGCTGTAGCTCAAGTTGTAGCCCTCGTAGTTCAGCTGGTGGCCCCAGTAGATCTGCAGGTGGTCGTCGTAGCTCTAGCGGTGGCTCTCGTAGCCAAGCAGCCGTCCCTGGTGGCTCAGCTGGTGGCCCAAGTAGCCCTCGTAGCTGAGCGGCTTACCCTCGTAGCTCAGCTGGTGGCACAAGCAGCTCAGCTCGCGGCCCTCCTCGTAGCTCAGCTGGTGGCCCTGGTAGTTCTGGTGGTGGTTCTCGTAGATCGGCGGGTAGCACTGGTAGTCCAGCTGGTGGCCCTCGAAGCCCCCCCTGGTGGCCCTCGAAGCTCTTCTGGCGGTCCTCGAGGAGCAGCGGGTGGTTCCCGTACGTCTGCGGGCCCAGGTGGCTCGGCTGGTGGCCCTCGAAGCTCCGCCCGGTGCCCGTGCAGTCCTCTTGGCCAGCCGGGCGGCCCTCCCAGCTCTGCATGGTGGCTCTCTGCGCTCTGCTGGTGGCCCCGGCAGCCCTGCCGGGGGCCCTCGCTGCTCGGCTCCTGGCCCTCGAGGCCCAGCAGGTTGTCCTGGCAGTTCTGGTGGTGACCCGGGTGGCTCAGCTGGTGGCCCTCGAAGCCCTGCCTGTTCTCCGAGTAGTTCAGCTCGCGGTGCCCGCAGCTCGGCAGCTTGCCTGCAGTGCTCCGACGGTTGCCCATCGAAGCTCCGTGTGTTGCCCGTGCAGTTCGGCTGTTGGCCCTTGTAGCTCAGCAGGTGGCCCTCGTGGCTCTACTGGAGGCTCTTGGAGGTGTGCTGGCCCCGGTAGCTCTCGGGCCTTGCTCTGCTCGTCGCCGTCATTACCCTCCTCGTCGCTCTCGTCGGCGCGTTCCTCCTCTATGCCTCCGTGGTGCGGGGGCTTCTTGAGGCAGCTACGCAGGGGTGTATCGGCGGGCCTGGTGTACGGCGGCGTCCACGTCGTCATGTCCAGGGCCGCGTGGTGGTAGTTGCGTCGCCCCTGCTGGTCGAGGTAGCTGTTCCGGCCAGGTGGCAGGGAGGCTGGTGCCGGTGGCTCTCGTAGTTCGGTTGGCAGCTCTCGTAGCTCAGCCTGTGGTCCTCGAAGCTCTGCTTGTCGTCCTCGTAGCTCGGCTGGTGGCTCTCGCAGGCCTGCTTGCGGCCCTCGTGGCTCTGCGCGTGGTCCTGGTAGCTCAGCCTGTGGTCCTCGTGGCTCTGCGGGTGGCTCTCCAAGCTCAGCTGGTGGCTCTTGAAGCCGAGCTGGCGGCCCCCTCGGCTCTGTCTCTTGCCGTCGTGGCTCTGCCAGTGGCCCTCGAAGCTCAGCCGGTGGGTCTCGAGGCTCTGCTTCCTGCTGCTGAAGCTCTGCCGGTGGCCCTCGAGGCTCCGCTGGCGACCCTCGAGGCTCCACTTTTTTTTTGCCGTCGGAGCTCTGCTGGGGGCCTTCGAGGCTCAGGCAGCGGCTCCTCGAAGAGCCGGCACGGCGGGCGGCAGGGCGAGGAGGCCGGACGCGGCGTGGTCGTCGTGGCCGTCGTGCCCGTGGTGGCCGTTACTACTTAGGCGTCGTTGTCGTCGTCGCCGTAGGCGGCGCAGCCGTGGTCCACCCGTGTCTCCACGACGCTGTGCTGCTGAGGCCTGGCGGCCAGTGCCGCCGGCCCTGGACACCTCGGCCCTCGAGGGTGACGGGATGCGTGATGAGACGTCGGAGGCAAGTGAAGACGTGGCGGAGAAGGAGGCGGAGGAGGAGGAGGAGGAAGGGGAGGAGGAAGGGGAGGAGGAGGAGGAGGAGAAGGAGGAGGAGGAGGAGGAGGAGGAGGAGGACGATGTATTTGGTAACCTCTTCGGGCTGCTTGGGCGTGTCGTGCCTGGTCTCGTACTTTGCGTTGTCGTAGTTTGTGGCGTGCTTGGTGCCGTGCTTGGTGGCGGGTTTTGTGTTGTAATTGCTGTCGCACTTGGACGCCATCGCGAGGGTGGTCGTGGCAATGATGATGATGATGATGATGATGATGATGATGATGATGATGATGATGATGATGATGATGATGATGATGATGATCATGATCATGATCATGATGATGATGGTGATGATGATGGTGATGATGATGATGATGATGATGATGATGATGATGATGATGATGATGACGATGATAATGTCGTCGGATCGCTGTTGTATCTCATGTCGGACGTTGTAC